ATTCAATATTCTATTTCACATTAAACTCAACTGCATTCAGTTACGATTCAAAGTTTTAAAATATTCATTTGAATTATTCGTTTTTTGTTATAATAAACAATCGTAAAAATTATTTCTTGATGTGTTTATTTGATCTTCTGAGAACTTAAATGTGAAACTTTAAATTTTATACTTTATGGAAATATTTAAAACAATGAATATTCAGATAAAATGAGAAGCTCGAATTCATAAAACACTGTGTCCATTTATAATTTGGAAATAACAAAAATGCTTATTTGGATTAAAAATTTGTTTCATATTCAATACCATATTACATTATAGCAGTTTATTTTTAGTACTATCTTATTAATAGACATTGTTGAGGTTGTTTTTATTTAAATCCAATCAACGATGAACCAATATATAAGTATATACTGAGTATCCAAAAATAGCTATGATAATTAAAATTCAATTCCCGATTCAATGAGCATACGTGGCCATGTTTAGCAAAACAGTATGAGGCTGCAGTGAACTATTCTGAGGCGCCTCGGGATGCGGTAGGTCGTGTCAATTAAACTTGTTCTGTCAGAGATGTGGTTTTGTTCTCGAAGGCTGTGCCAAATTTACTGCGGAACTACGAGACTTATGGCTCTTTAAGGCCTATATGTTTTTGGGTTACGATTTATAACGTTGGCAAATATAAAATGGATTATGAACAGTCCCCCAGAGGATAGTGTAACTTTTCCTAGATCTGGTTGTTTGTGTTAACGTCACTCTGATTATAATAATTTACATCCATACAAGTCTTACACAGTGCCATCTCTGATACATCTTAATTTGAACTTTTTTTTTTTTTTTTTTTTTTTTTGATGACGTAGTGGAAACTCTTTTTACGAGCCGTCCAACCGGCCTTGGTGGGGCCGGAAGGGATGTGTGAGGCTCGGCCTGGGCAGGCCCCTACTCACTAAAACCACTGCGAAAGCCATCGGCCGCTATGTCGGTGTACCCCGGATCTGTCAGCGACAGGGCACACCAGCGACTGGCCGGTCCTGGCAAAGACCGGACTTACTCCCTCGGAGCATGGGGGCGATCCCGGCAATTAGGACCACCCCGACGACGCCGGGCTTTCAAAAGGGCCGGGTTACCACGCCGACCCCAGCCCAGAACACAGGGGTGCTATTGGAGGCGTAGGAATTGCCTCCGTCGCACCCCCGTACGTCGCCTGCGGGGGGAGGGAGCATCAGCCGCCCTCTCCCTTTCCCGCTGAGATGCCTCCTTCGTGGACATGACCGTCTCACAGAAGGAGGACACCGCCAACCAGGACCCATCACTCTCGAGCATCTTCTCCACGACACTCGAAAGCGACAGGTCCACTCCGCCGAGAGCCGCCACAAGGTCTTGGCGCTGCGCAGCCCATCTCGGGCACACCTCGAGGGTGTGCTGGGCCGAGTCCACCGCAGCGCCGCACTCATGGCAGCCTTCTCCCGGCTCTCTCCTGGCCGTCCGACACAGGTAGTAACCAAAGCACCCGTGCCCGGTTAAGACCTGCGTCAGACGGAAAGTGAGGGGTTTGCGTTTCCGCCTCATCCAACGCTCTAGGACCGGGCGAAGCGCTGCCGTTGTACGTCTACCGTACGGCTGCTCCGCCAGGTCCTCCCCCCACTCCCGCATAAGGCGCTCCTCCCCCTGCCGACGAATCGCTCGGATCTCCTCCGACGAAGGGTTCTCGCCGAGTGCCCTCCTACCCGAGACATAGGAGAACAACTCGGCTCGAACCGACGCCACGAGATCCCAAGGCGGATCGCCGGCAAGGGCAGTCGCTGCGGCCCAGGAGACCGTACGGTACCCCCTAATCACCCTCACCGCAGGAGCCCTTTGCGCAGAGCGCAGCATGGCTTTGGTCCTGCGGCTCATTGGGCGATCAGCCCAAACGGGAGCACCGTACAGGGCTATACTCCGACAGACCCCAGATTATAGCCGCCTGCAAGCTGCGCTGGGTCCTCCGAGGTTCGGGAGGAATTTTCCCAGCGCACCTGCCGTCCTCACGACCTTCGGCCCCAGTTCCTTGAAATGAGGCACGAAGGTCCATCCTCCGTCAAGAGTGAGCCCCAGATATTTCATGGTGGGACTCACCCTGACCCTGCCTCCTCCTATGAGGAGGGTGGCACCCGGCGGGGGTCCTTTCCGCCCAGTCCCGCGGAAGAGGAGGGCTTCGGTTTTGTCTATTCTCACCCGAAGCCCCAACCTCTCTATGCGGCTGATCACGAGCTCAGTTCCGACCTCGGCCAGCCGCGCCGCCTCCCTGTAGTTTCGTCCCCGGGATAAGACGAGGGTGTCATCGGCGTAGCAGATGACACCCATCCCGGGGAGGAGACGACTCCGCAGGACCCAGTCGTATCCGACGTTCCACAGGACCGGTCCCAGGACCGACCCCTGTGGCACGCCGTTTTCGACTGTCCACCACTCTATGGACCCCCTCCGGCTCTCGACTGCCACCCTCCTCTGGGAGAGGTAGCTGTTTATCAGCCTCCTCAGATACAGGGGCACTCCGAAATACTCGAGTGCCACCTGTATCGCGCTGTGTGGGAGGCTGTTAAACGCGTTTGCGATGTCCAACGACACCGCAACCACTACCTCTCCTCTGCGTTCCGCCTCTTCCGTCACCGCCCTCAGGCGTTTGAGAGCATCGACGGTCGACCGATGGGCTCGGAACCCGAACTGGAACTCTGACAGTCCCGGGCCCGAGCCTTCCTCCAGATGCCGAACGAGACGGGTGGCCATTATTTTCTCCAGGGCCTTCCCCGCCTCGTTCAGCACAACCACCGGTCGCCACGCCGAAGCCGAGTCCGGAGGCCGGTTGCCTTTTGGAAGAAGGCAAAGCCGGCCTTCCTTCCAGGCCCTCGGGAACTGCCCGGACCTCAGACAGAGGTCGAACAGCTCCTTGAGGGCTCCACCGAGGTGCACCAGTGAGAGAGCGAGAACTCTCCCGTGCACCCCGTCCGGACCCGGTGCGCTCTTCTTACTCTGGAGGCGAGCCAGAATCGCCTCCATTTCAGACTCCGTGATCTTAATTTGAACTAACGTAACAGATATCTTAGTATTTTTTTCTAAATATTTATTAATTTACTAATCTTTTATTTCCTTGTTATATCAATGTTGCAAATAAATCACTTCTTTTCATTTAATTGCGCCACATAAATAAAGAAGAACAAAAAAAATTAAAAAGTCTTAATCATAATATTTCACGACGAAAAATAAACAACTGAACGTTTCAAGAAAATCATCTCTGAATTTCTTTATTGGGGTGAGAAAATTAGGTTGAGCATTTTGAACTTGTTATCGAGGTTAGAATTTCCGAAGTGTCAAATATTAGTTTACCTAATGGGAGGAAATTTAATTTGAATCGAGAATTAGGTAACCAAGATAAAATGAAGATCGCGTTGAGTTCAGCTTATATACATGTATATATACTTTTGTTGTTGGAATATAATACAACAGACAGAGCGAGCTGCCACGAGAAATTTGTTTAAAGATTCGGTTTGTTTAACTAAATAAAAATACGTATACATTTAACATCATTTAATAAATAATAATTCAAATAGTTTTTATCTAACACACTCAGGTAATCTAATATATTTACTAAAACGGTATTCTTACTTTATAAATTATAACTTTTCAAAGCTTCCAAATAATATTATGTTCGATTTGAAGTGTTCATAAACAAGGGTAAGACCCATTTCTCTCGGCATTTAAAAGGCCGGTATTTATTTTCAGTTTTATCGGGTTTTACTTTTAAGAAAAATTCATTACTACCGCATTCGTGCTGAATTCCGATTACAATAAAACAAAGGAGGTTGGGACCGTTAAAAGCGGGGAATCAATTAAAGAGCATTGATTCAGTGGAACCGATAACGTCTGTCAGATTGAGTCGGAATGGCCACTTGATAAGATTGTCCGACCCACAGATATCCTTTTAATTATTTCAAATGTAAAGATTTCCGATTTTTATACATTTCCTTTTACTTTTTCCGTTAGATTATTATTTAATTGAAGAATTTTTATTAGTAAATAAATATTTGATGTTACTTCTTTTCTTTTTACTATAGTATATTAAATCAATAATAAACAAAACATTTAGAGTAACATAGGGATTATATCTGTCAGAAATATTATATTTTAGGTATTAATTTTAAAAATATATTTTTTTACTGTTTGAGGAGTTGTAAAGAAAATAGTTTTTCATTTATCATATACTAGTTTATTTTAATAACATTATTTACATCAAAATTGTACGACAGTACAATAAAGGTTTAATGATATTTCTTATATTAGGAGATAATATTATACATTCAAGTACATAATCTATTATTGGTTAACAATTTTTACCAACCTTTTAATGTTTTCTTATGTGCAGTATTAATATTTACAATATTTAAGCGTGAGGAGCAAGCCGGTATATACTAAAGGTAAGCGCACATTAACAAACGTCATGTCAACATAGGTAATTTTGAAATGTGAATTTATTGTTAGGTGTGCACTGACCCTAAGAAATAAATAATATCTACAACTGGTGAATCTTTGGCACATTGGAACGATCAACGCGAAGCATGAGACCATATTTTGGACAATATAAATTCTATTCTACTTATGATGACATGGTAACAGTGATAGCGAGTTCCAAACGACAAGTATATTAACAAAAGTCACAGGATAAGTCAAAAAACATAAATAGTAGTGGTAACACAACAGAAAACTTAGCCTAGTGTTAAGAAAATGGAAGTTATTGGCAAGAAATGAAATTCACTTAATTATACAAACATTTTAAGCAATATTTGTTAGTAAATATATGTATACAATCTCACTCATCTCAATAATGGATATGACGCAAGTATTGATATGTTATCTTATTTACTTTTTAAAAAATAAGTATTGATATGGTAAGTCTATGTTATATTTTACAATGTTTGTATACGAAACGACAATTTTTAAATTAATATTGAGAACAATATAATATTGGTCTATTAAAAACATAACATCAAGAATTCGGAAATTAAATCCATATTAGCCAGAATCATTACAGCCAGGAAAGATTGACGCCAACATAGGAGACTCCGTGTACCTAAAACATCAAAATGGAAATAAATTAATATATTAGAAATTAATTCTTAAGTTACTATAAACATTAAACATTCAAAATTGTGCCAAAAACAGGAACAAAAATATAAGAAATGATTTCACACTATGTAAATATTATTAATGGAGCAAAACAAATTGAAAAATAAAATTGTGGTTCTAAAACAAAATGAAAAGTAAATGAGACTGAACAAAGCACAGAGACAAAATAAAATGTGCATTCAAGCGCGAAGAAGCTGAAAGAGGACCGCATTTTAGTTTTAGATTTATTTATTTTGAGATAGAATTTTATTTAACAATTATAAGACGGAATGTTACTCTCTTATTGACATATTTCCACAGTAAAATATTTCCTATTTTAGAAAAACTTAAAAATCGAAGGGAATTTAATGAACTGGTAATTAAAATTTGGATATTTGATTACATTTTAATGTGTAAAAAGATGAAACAGTCTAAAATCCATCATATTTCTAATATAAGAAAACCGATTTACTTCATTGGTTACTTTTTGCCGTCAAGCGATGAAAATTTTCGTGTGATGTAACGGTTCATTAAAAATATAAAAAAATAAGAAGTTTAAATATATGTATTTGTTATTTCGTATAAAAAGAGTGAAATACCTAAAAATATAAATAATAATAGTACATTAGTATATATATTTATAAAACCTCTATGGCTCTAAAGACATTTTCGAACGTGACTTCAAATACAATTACTGTTAAAACTTTTCCAGTTTAAAGGTATTTAGAAGTTGCCGTATTTATTTTGAGGTCTATTCGAGTCAATTGTATTACAGGTAACAAAACTTGCCCACAGCTTAGGCCCTTTCAGGGTTATAGTTAATTTCGAAAATGGATTCCCCCTTATATTTTATTCAAGCGCTCTTCTCTATTTGATATCATATTATTCGGCTGTTCAAACACTTTTTCCTCAAGCTTGGAAACTGAAAGAATTGATTGTACGCGGTCTGTACTGAATATTTATGAGGGTTAAGTGTATATGCGAACTCGTTGAATGTTTAATCTCTATTTGACGGTAGGTGGAAAGCGACCCCGGTTCACCGCACACCTACTTGGAATGGAACTCCTCTCAAAACCGAATGGATGTTCTAACAAAACTATGGCCTTCAAACATCGAAATATAACCCAATTAGGAGCATTTACTCTGATACTCTTAGGGGATTGTCAATCGATAACAATCGATAATAATTGATAATATCGTAAGTGCACGCTGTCTATACTCTTTAAAATAATGAGTTCGCAACTTTAGCTTGTTTAGTTAGTTAGTTGATTTAAGATCTATGTATTTTGCGATTCAAAGACAAACCTCATTTATGTAAATGAGTACAAATAGGTTTTTCTAAGGATTACTTTTATTATTTTAAGGCCACATCTAGTTGTTTTTGCGTCTTAAAGATTTTTGATTCCTGAACGCGTTTATTTTTTACTCGAAGGGCGAAAGACGTCTTTAATAATGCAATGTATTGTTACAAAGAATACAAAGCGGTGAGTGAATCCCTTACGGTTCAATGTTTTGCAGACTATGGGATTGTAAACGGAGTAAAGGAGTTTTTTTTCTTCATTTAGGGTTTTAATAAAATTCTCAAATAAAATATTGCTAATGGTCAAGTTTTGTAAGTGTAATGGATGAAAATATGGATTACAGAATATATTAAATTGCAAAAGAACATATTCAAACAAAAAGGTGTGCATCGATAGTGGAACCACGAAGTTATTTGTGTGCATAATATATAAAAATAGTATCACTAAAATCCTATACATTTTTCTTAAGTTTTAATGCAGTGCGTGTGATCTGAATATGTTCTCTGGGTGTATGTCCGCTAGGTGATTGCAATTTACAATGTGAATGTAATGAAGTGCTCTTGTTTATGTGATTTGATCTGTGTGCGTACCTGATGCCTGGTGAGGATGTGGCGCGCGGTAGACATGGCCACGGTCCGGTGCTCGGTCAAGCTGAGCGCGCACCACACTCGGGCGCTCGGTCACCGGCTCGTGAGAACCCGGGCGCGTCACGTTCATGCGACGCACGACTGCAACGCCACGATTTACTAGCGGTCTTGTTTGCCACATATTTAAAAATCTTGCTGTTTGGTCTTTGGATTTTTTGGCACAGAAATTTATATTGGCTAATTATTTTTGAGAAATAAAAATACTTTTTTATCAAAATAAAATTGATTCCTTCGGCTTATTATTAATTTTTATCTCGATGTTTATTTTAAAATAGGCTATAGCCACAATTTTTAATTTACACGAATGATTACACTTCAAACTCTTACTTTCTGTAATGTTTAATTTTATTTCCCTAGCACTGCTGAATATGGTACAGGAATTAGAATAATTTTACGTCCATGATTGTATGTGTAAAAGACTTCTATGAAAATTGCATAAAACAAGTTCTGTGTTGTTTGAAAACTTCTGCTGATAGATTGACCTATGTAGGCCGAATAGTCTACACTTTTTGAATTTCTTTTACATTAACATGCAATGAATTGGTAAAATGTGATTCTATTTTGTAAACAAGGCATTTTATTTTTGCCTATGATAGGTTTTATAAATGCAAAGATTTTTAGTTATTTTTTGTACATTAATGGTCACATTTTGAAATGGCAAAATCTCTGATCAAAATGGGTTTGTTATTGTAAAAAATCACCATTTTGATTTTTAGATCTTATTATAAATATCAAAAACACTTGAAGACGAATCTTAATAAGTGGACTTCATAATGTCAAGTTCAAAACGGCTTTTTTAAGGGCACATCTTCCTTAAAAACAATCTATTCCTAACCTGGAACACACGTGTAAAATAGCACGTCTCACAGGAAAACAAAAATTAAAGTGTTTGCAGGAATTTTATACTTTAATTCCTGTGTTTTTAGCATCAGATCACTAAAAGGCTTGTTGTTGGCTTTCCGCCTTCCCGACAAAAGTAGGATAAGCTGCGTTCTTCCTCATGAATAAAGAAAAGGACTGGACTGGTTTACCAATGTCTCTACTTCCTTCCAATTACAATGTGATTGTTTTCGACGTAATATTGAATAAGGCTGTTAAAGAGACATTTCCACAACTTGAACGACTTAAAGGTGAAAGAGGTTGTTCATTTAGCTTGACTTTGTATATATCAAATCATTTAACACAAAGCTTTCGGACTTTGAATGAGAGTGGATATTATATTTGTTTATCGATAAAAAGATTAATAAGCTTTTTTGTAGTAAATTTTTGTTGCTATTTTAAAAATGAAAAATTTAATATGATTTTTTTTTTTTAATTATTTATACTGCCTTTATAGAAAAGAAATATGTTGTACCCAATTAAATATTTTGAAAAACTGTTGTATTAATATATTTATATTAATATTTTCATATATTCGATTCTGTTGATTGCATTATGTATTTTGAATAAGTATCAGATATGAAAATTAATAAATAATAGAAAATTTTCCGTAGTAGAGTGGCACAATTGAATAGGCCAAGATTAAAAACAAGTGACATGTTTCATACTATCTTAAGGTTTTTATTAATTAAATTATTTTAATTAAAATTAAAAAGATAACGTTATACGCTAAAACAGAGTAATTTTTAAATTAAGATATATTGAGTATGCACACTGCATTGCGGAATTTAGCAAACACGGCGGTACTGTTTATTGCTTGCTTATTCATGTTTTATTGCCAACAGTCGCCGCTTTTTAATGCTTGTTATATTACAAGTGCTTTTGTACAAATTGCGCAAAACTTTGTGTATTAGTGTTAATGCGTTAACATAAGTTTTTTATTTCAATTTATTTTGTGAGTACTATTATTAATAATTTATATTTGTTTGTTGACTTCACATGCATGTTTTTGTGAGGGTTTTCGTTCTATTTTTATTATGCGGTTAAATGAAAATATGAAACTAGCAAAACAAGCTAAGTATGATTTAAAATAAAAAGTAGAAAAGTAGTCTCGGATGAAATAATTATTTTTGAAACTAATGTTAATTTTGATTTAAATAATTGTTACAAAGTTAATTAATAATGTTATTATTTGTAATGATTCAAACAGATGTCGATATTATTTGTATAAATAACTAATCTATTGTTAAAATTCTATTAAACACATCCCTACATAACTTACTTTCTTTATTGGCGTTGCTTTTCATTTCTGTTGCTTTAGGCGACGTCGAAGGCATCGGGATTTCTGAGTGAACGAAACAAAATTAATTAATTAAACATTGCATTGTGCTGATATTGTATTGTAATTTAATATTAAGTAGCCACTGTTTGTGAAATAAACAAAATTAAGCACACTTATATTATAAAAAAGCGACAGTTTGTGAGAATATATGGATGTTGATGAAATTTTACACTAATATTGCTTAACATTAGAATAAGACAAGCCCTAAAGTTTTGTTTAAAATTCTGTATTAACACTTCACAGTGACATTTTATATAAAGACACTTGAGGCAGACTCGAAGATATCACTGCCAGTTCGTTACCATATCATATTTTTAACACACTACAAATTTCTCAGTGATCCTTACTTCAAATAACAAACAAAACACTATTATTAATGTATTTTAATGTCTTCTTACCATACAATCTGATAGACCCTTCGGTTTCTCCGAGAGAATTTTTGGAAATGCATCTGTAATTGCCAAAGTCGCCATTTTGGAGATTTCTAACAGTCAGCTTCATGTGGGCCCTGTTCATATATGTTATATGATTATTACATATTATTTTAAGTCTCTATTAGAAAATAAACTACAAACATTTCATTAAATAATATTTCATTTCAAAACGTCATAATGACGTTAGTGAAAAGGTTTGAAATGAAAATCTTTTCTTAGGAGTAATAAAGAATTATTTTAACATTTTTGTTTTTATCAGGGTTTCCATGAATACATAGAAAATAATTAATTAGCTACTGCCTGTTTCATTACTCATTTTCTTGGTATTAATTATAGCTCGTTCTGTTTTTAATATCGCTTAAATCTACTATCTTTAAAAGTTGCCTTGAATATTTTTCATTAAAATTATTGTTTTCTCACAAATATATATATTACTAGTTTCGTGCATTACAAGGTATTTGTATGAGAAATGGTGCTCCAGGCTTTTAGTAGGTATGTATTGTTAATGAGTAACACAACGTGTCTTATTAAATTTTAACAATGTTTTGGTATATAATGTACGGGGGATAAGTATTTATTAGTAATAATAATCTCGTTTTAAAAGTGTAATGATTATTATTTTTATTATAACTCTTGAGAAATAAATTAGAGCTGCTCCTTTATCAAGGGACGGTGAATGAGTAAAATGTAAAATGAAATAACTAGTAGTTATTTACAAAAACGTTTCTTTATCATAATTCATATAATTAAACTTAACTTTGATAAGATATAAATTATATAATCTTTTCTATAAGTTATAACCATCCAACTTATTGATTTTGTGAGGAGTGTGAAAAGTTTTTAAGATAAAAAATATAACATAATAGAGTTTTGTCTTATATACTTCATGAGTCCCTATTATTTACCTGTATGAGTTTTCCTCTGTGTTGATAGCGTATTTCTTGGTTGGTAGAACCATAACACTGTCGTATACCCAGTATGAGATCGCTCGTGGATGAGCTTCTGTATGGCAGTCCACGGTAACGTCAGTGCCTGCAGGCGCGCCGACCAGTTGATTCGGTACCCAGATCATCGGAGAAACTAGAAGAATGGTTTCATGTATTTATCTAGTTCGTATAGCCTTTTAGGGAATATAAATTGTAACTCCGACATTTAGGACTTAGTGAATATCTTGATAAGAATTGAGTTGAATACTTTTATGTTGTTTTCTACGAGTATCTCTGATGAAAGTTATATTTTTGTTAGGCTTTAGGTTACATTACCAAAATTTTTTTCATTTTAATCTTACAGTAATAATTATTTTAATCTAGTTTATTGTTTTAAAACAAATATTTGGTATTCTGAGTAGTAACTGAGCCGTCGGTAACGGAAGATTTTCTATGAATGAAATACAAACAGCATAATTACTTGACATGTAGCATATTTATTCATTACAGAATATTAGTTTTTAATGAATATATAACAATCTATATACAGGTTATCTTTTAAGTAAAACAAAGCCAATAAATAACAAATTCTTTACAGAAGATATAAATCATATGAATCTAAAACGAACCAATGGCGTGCAACGTAAGTAAAACTATTGGAAACTGCGAAGCAATTTATAAACTCTCAATAATGATAGATAGCCGCGAAGTACACCGAACGTCACCGAACGGGGCCGAACACGCCCGAACGCCGACGATTTTTCACATCTCCCTCGGATAATAAAATCCACAGTTTGAGATCGTAATTCACATTCCCGGAGTTTATGGCGGCAATTTTCGGGACGAATATTACTCGTGCGATACGGTTTAATATTCTACGACGTTTTAAAATATTTATAAAGTCCACCATTCTTTATTCGAGCATAGGAGATGGCTTCATTATCTTGTAGTACACCTCGGCTGGTCTTATTTCGTTTTTTATTTATAAATAATATATGGCCTTTTATACCGGAGACGACATTTTCTTTATAAATATGATATCCCCTTTACGTTATTATTATGGTTTAACATTTTTTCCGGTTGAATGGATTGACTGGGTTTAACGAGCTTCCTCATCTGATGGGATTTCATTTACAATAAATACAATTAAAAAAGTAATAATATCAAGTTCCACCAAAAGTGGTATCTGTTTTCAAACAGATATTTTTAAAACTATTAAGCAACGATCACATATTTTACTAGTCAGTGATGAGTTATAGTTGCTCAAGGAGAAGTGTGAGTGTTCAAATGTTATTAGAACCTTTGATGGTAGAAGGAAGATTGAATGATGTATCACTCAAATATTTACATTTTATATATTAATTCCTTTTTTTGAAAAGCGAGAACGGTCACAACAAAAGCTAAATACTTTTAATAAAGTCTGTTAATAAAGGAATGAGAATGTAATTAAAATTAATATATTTTACAGAAAATCGATCATATTTTTTACTTAGAATCTTAAAAGAAGTACGCCAAATATCTAACAAAAGCATTGTACAAATAAAAAAACAAAGTAAATTACAACTGCATTAGCATTCATCAACGAAATTAAATTTTAAACACGTGACTACTCCTTGTTTAAAATACCTCATATATTTTAACCTTCTAATCATACTATCATAACGTTTCAATTTTAAATTTTTCAACAAAATTAAAGTCCACCGAATGGCAAATAAAGGTGTTCGCTTGAGTTTTGATTTCATTCACAGTCAGTGAAATTAGTAATAATAAGAGAAAATAGTTTTTAGATGCTTGCGGTGCTGTACGATATACTCTTTTTCTATTTAAAGTATAATATTGAAAAATATTTTACACTATTAAAAACATTTATATATTAAAACTCAAAGTATTTCTAATTCAGTATGTGTACATTTTAATTCTATTTATAGAGCACCCTTTCTCAATTGTTTGCGTCGCGATGAATATTACTCCTTCAAAAATATTATCTTTCAATTACCAGTGGACGCTTATTTATTCAGCCGTGTCTCGAAATAAAATGGAACCTAATAATCTTATTATTATAAACTTCTTTGGGAGAGAAAGATTTTGTGGATGGTACAAAAATAACATTATAATCTGGTATCTTAAGTAGTAGTTTCGAATTTTGTACTTGATAGATTGCGTGTTATATTTATACGCTTCTGTCATATTACTTGTGGTTTAATTAAGTTTCTCATTATTAAAACTCGTTCTAAACAGGTATGTAACTCACATTCAACATCCACAATGATCCTCTTGGAGACGGAAGGTGGCACCGCGTTGGTTGCGATGCAGAGGTACGCTCCCATCTCTGTGCGACTGATGCGTTGTAGACTCAACGTGTCCCCCTCGTAGACTGTTACTGGATAAGGTAACTTTTTTATAAATTATATATTAGATATGTTGCGGTTGTGTGTTCATTTTGTCTTCTTTAATATTTTTATTTTGACGAAAATTATTTCATTTAATTTCTATACAGCTTTTGATATGTGTGAACAATGTTTATATAATCTTTTTTGAATAAAAATATCTTTATTTAAAGTAAAGACAATAACTTCAGCTTTGTAACATTATTTTCTTTATTTAGTTTCATGTGTATGTATTATTGACATTAGAAACTAAAATATTACATCCATTAATATATACAAATTTAATTATTATTAATATTTAGAATATATTCCGCTTACATAAATTAAACGCGTCAGCAAAATGAATTGTCACAATTATTTTATTTAACATTACATACGAAATAATTATTTTGCCTCACAGAGTGGTAATATATAAGGGCGAGATTGTGAAAACAATTAAAATGTAACAGAGATTAGCTGAAACGGATAACCGCATACGAGTTATTAGAGTGAACGTTAATGATAATACGATAATTAGGGAGATTTCATGAAAATATTACAGAATTAATGAGGACGTGATGCTAACGTGGATGTTACCTTAGATTTCACTAATGATATAATTGGAAATTAGCGCATCATTTTGAATGTAAAACGTTAATTCTGTCATAAATATGATATTAGCGAATTATAATATAGTAATACAAATTAACTCTATAAGCAAAGACAATTAGAAAACTTAATAATAATACGCATAATATTTATAGGCGAGAGTCCATAAATATTCAGAGCAAACCGCCTAACTTAGCTCCAAAGTCAAATTAGTTATTTTCTTAATTCACAATCAAATTCATTAGGTAAGCTTAAAAAGTCATAAGAATTTCAGTATTCCGGACACGTACCCTGTCCGCTAGCAAGTGGCCAAATGAGTCTGTATTTACAATTAGGAAGCTCGGTAACCGCAATGAATGTAATGACCGGCATGCGTCGCCGGAATATATTAAGCAATTATACTTAGAATTGCATATAATTTTGGAATTAGCTCACTTATATGATGTTCTGAAAGTAGGAATAATGATACAAAATATTATATCACGGTGTGAAAACAAGGCTAAAATTTCATTCAAATTTTAACAGCAATTACGTCGTACGTGTTCTACGAGAGATGTTTTCTTAGAGCGACCGACCTCAATAATTCAACAAAATTATTATATATTCCACTTATATATTTTATTTGTCAGAATTTATTTTTAACATAATTTATGAAGATTTGCCGATTCGATATCATTTATCAACCTTTAATGATGAGAACCTAAAAATAAACGAGAAATATTTTAAGAATGTGATTTTTTTACTTGAAATTCATTTGTATTTAAGGTTGTAACAGTACTTAACTTTTAAGCTTTTAACAGAAAATGTAAGACAACTAAATCAGAAATATTTATCTGAATATAGTCAATGATAATTGTTAATTTGAATGGAAATAATTTCCGATTCCATTAATATATTAAACGTTGATTTATAAAACAATAGAATCATCGGTGTGAAATACAAATACCGTACTAATGCGGTATGGATTGTTGTTAAGTATTACGTATTTGACAAACGACATTTCATTCAAAATAAGAGTTTAACCAGAACGATATCTTTGAGGGATGAAATTGTAAAACCACGTAATGAATAGGCTCTCAAAATGCCTCGAGCGGGAAAATGGAGTCAAACGTTCGGTTTGAGTCTTAAATCGCAAACGCTTTCATCCACTTTGAACGAACTCTTTCCATTAACGCGTTCAATAAAAACCGGATCGTATTAATCCAAACAAAGGATTAACAAGTACCGAATTGAAAACGAGAACAGTTTTGGACGCGTAATTAAAACATCGGTGACGTCCGCAAATATACGTGGCAGATGGATCTGACACGACCGCGAGGGTCACATACAATTACCGATGAGTACCATTCACACGTAATACCCCCACATCTTCATTTTGAACCACATTTTTAGGTATGAATTGAAAGGGTGAACACATCCAGGGGCTTATTTGTTTAACACCGATTTTTTCACAATTATCTGGAATCTGATTTTCCCGCTCTAATACTCAGGGATAGAATGGGTTTAAAGGACTTAATTATCACGTCAACAACAGCTGCATTCCGTTAAATGCATATTTTATGCTTTCAGTAACAGCGTTGAATTATGTTAAAATGAAAAGAAAACGCTAATAGCAACGGTTATGAGGTTCATACTTAAAAATGAGATAAGTGTGTTTAAACGTTTTAAGAAACTTTAACTATTATTTTGGTATTAGTATTCAATTGATGTAATTTACATGTGTTACCTTTCTTTCTCCTGTCCACTGATATAGGCTGGCCATCTTCTCTTCGCCACATAATTTTCGGTGTCGGGAAGCCATCTGCCTTACAGATAAGGCTAATGTTTTGGTTTTCCCTGACTGCCACTGCTGACTGTGTGCTTTCTTCATCTAATATATTCGGGGGTACTGTTGACAATATCATGTATAAATAAGGATTGTTCATTCTTTTAATTAATATTATATATTTTTATTTAATTTTGACAAGGACTTTGATTTTATGTCACTTTGAACCCACGGTTGGTACAACCTAACGGTTACAACTAACCTTATCACTGTATTTCTCATGTTCCAATATCATTTTGGGTTTTCCACTAAACAATTTTATTTACATTTTATGTAAACTATAATAGATATATATTTAGTAACAAAATATCTAGATCTCATTATATGTATTATAATCATAGCTTACAATATCTTGTTCTCATTTATAACGGCGTATTATAACAAACGCTAAAATAAAAAGCTATAAAGATATATAATTTCAAATTCTGTTTCTTGTAAACTTATCAACCTTTTTACTAATAATATTAATACTATTATTGCAGCGCTTTTATTTCGTAAACAATATGTTTATTTTAAAGGTGTAATCTTATATGACTTAAAATTATCAGGAGTCGTTTTTTAATTAAATAAAATGGACTAGGTAGTTGATTTGTTTTTTTTGTATTATAATATTTTTGTGATATTTTCGATTACAACAAAATTAGGAATATTTTACAGAACTGTAACATTGTTGAAACAACGATAAATTACTAACAGCTAATAAAATACCAATACTATAATTATTATTTCCAACGCGGATTTCAAACGCGTGTTCAATTATTTTAGTTAATTAGTCATTAATTTGGAGATTAAATTAGAGCAAGAGGATAAAGTTATTATAGTATATTTGAAGCCGAGTTGTATTTAATATTGTAAATAGTTAAAGAAACGAAGGTTTTACTAAAGTATTTCTTTGTTACAAGAAGATCTGAATTGCTGTGTGAAATTTTGGCGCATTGCAGAAAAGGTTGAATAATTTATTATAATGAAATATTTCTTATTACAATACTAAAAAATGATTCCAGGAAGCAATTCACGTATGATAGATATGTTTAAACACTAGTTAAATTGGCTTCTGACAAAGTTTACGCAGCACTTGAAAATACTTATAAGAATTTTAAAACCGGTTAGTTGATAAAATTTATCTTTTATTCCCTTCACATAGCAACTTAAAGTTTTACGGATGAAAATCTCAAAAACTTTAAATTCTCGTGGGACGTGATATTTCAGCAGTTACTGTACAATTGAAGAAGTTTGCGTTACGGGAATTTTTAAAGAATACGTGAATTTAGGACTGAAGTGCAGGCAAATGTATGTATATTAAATAAATACTTTACAAATACTCATGTCTCTATTGCAGCGCAATAATGTTCAACTGATAACGATTAGTCACTATGTCTCTTCTTTCTTTGTCTTTAAAAAGGTTAGGAAAATACTTTTTATACCTTAATGTTCAATACTCCTATCGATAAAACAGCAGTTCTACAACTATTTCTAGAATTGAATCCGATTTTATATCTTGTCGACTTTGAGGACAATCAAACAGACATAAAAAACGTCTCCAACGTGTTCCGGGTTCCAAGTAACACAAAACCCTCGAATTTATTTCCACTTAAAAGTTTGTAGAAAATTGTGGTCGTATAAAAAGACTAAGCGCACCCCAATCGGTGGTCTGGGAATCGCTTCACCACGTTCTTTGAATGAAGTTATAGTCATCGAGCGAGAATGGTTTTTAAACATTTGACAAGAAGCACAATTCCTTGCTGTCTACTGAAACATTTTATCTATGTACTAAATATTGTTATTAAGAAGGGATTTTATGTATGATTTAAAGACGATTTTCGGTAGTAGAAATGAACTTACCAACAACTTGTAAGTATCCAACTTGACTGATCATTGGATTCGTATTCACTTGGCACATGTAATATCCTCGGTCCTCTTGCTGTACTTGACTGACGTGGAGCAACCAGGTCATGGCGTTGTCGTGTGAGACGCTGAACCTGGCGAGGCGGGTGATCACGTGACGATGGATGGTCAGGATCATTTGACGGTCGATGTGAATCCATGCCACCTTGATATATATAAATACATTAAACATCACTGTAGTATTGTTACTTAGACCACGTAAAAGAATGCATGTTTGTTTTTACATTCTCATTTAAAATTTTTGTTAAGATAGTTTAGCTTACAGAGTTTATTAGTTTATGTATAATATCGCTTTTGTTTCGTACACGAAAACTTCTGTATATTGTATGTTTATCATATTGTTAAATATATTTTGTATTGGCCTTTTAATAGATTATGTAATTTGATATAAACCATTTAAACAAGACGAATGTCGTGTGGCTGGCTGTTAGGAACAAGATCGTCTCAATAATGTTTGTGTGAATCAATATTCAAGGAATAAACCAAACCGTACTAAATTCGGTTCTAACTCGGTAGGAAATTAAATTCTAACCACATACTGTGCCATCCCATTATGTGTTATTCGTAGTACTATTGATTTTATATTCATAATACATTCTACCGGAAGCTCAGGTGGAATTAATTTCAGACATTGATTTAATTGGATCCTGACTTTGAAAACCTCTCCTACTAAAATATGGTTCGTCTAGGATTTTTTTTTCTCCTATATTAAGCGTAATTTACCAAATACAGATAACACAATAGGAATCCAGATATCTTTCTTGATCTGGTTGTTTTATGTATTTTATCTGAATTTATATTTATTTTACTTTATCTAAGATACGTCGAAATTTCCAGAGTATTAATAAAAGTAGCGGTAATTGTTATATATGTACGTCAACATTATAAACAGTCGACCCCTTGATTCCCCTACGCTTCGGTTCTAAGAAGAGTTTTTTCGTCAAATCTTCTTCTACATTAATATTAAATGAACTATATGACAGACTTCAATTTGAGGATTAATTATTATTACTATATTATAAGCTTTGCTTTCAAAGAGTAACTGTTAAATTCAATTTTGTCAATATTTTTGTGGTAGAACCAACATTTTATAAAATATTTCTAGCTACTTTTGATAATAAGAATTTTAAAAAATTATGGTGTTATTGTCCTCACTTTTAAATTAATTTAAATCATTATTTTATATCCCGTTGTTTTCCAAAATAACGTTTAAATTTTTATTGTGTTTATAATTTATTTATATATTTTCAAAGTTTATACTTTTATATTTCTTAGTTGCTTCTTTGAATCTATGACATGGCTTCTATTACCAAGACGAATCTAACGAAACCTCATGATATATTAACAACTTTCAAGTTATTGAAACTCTATCTCGTATCTGAGAAATGGACTTTGATACAACACACACAAATAACACTTCCCAGACAACCAGTTAATAAATAACATACCAATAGATTTATTCGCCTTTCAAAGTATTATTATAACAAAAATATAGAAATTGTCACCATTAACATGTTGAAAAACAAAAATAAACAAATCCTGAAAGCCAAATATTCAAATGACAGTAAATATTCCTAAATCCGCATAAGTTACGATGTAGCGATCCGAATCAAACAATACCGGATCAAAATCTCGAAAACCGAAAGACAAACAATTGTACATTAAGCTCGGAAACTAGAAAGTCAAGCGAGCACGCATCATTGTTTACTTCGGAGTCACAGCCGTTAAATTTGGCCGGGTTACCGCAGAACCGGTATCGTGCCGCACTGCGCACCACTCAATAGCTTGCATATTTTATGAGTTCTCAACTTAATATCGTCTACTTTCGCAGAAGTATCCGTCGATCTGCAGCTATCGGTGATCGATTGTATTGTTAACAGTTGCTACCATCTCGGGGGCTTTATACGAACAAACGTAACTGTTGAGAGTGGTGAGAGTGTGATAAGTCAAACAAACCTTGAACTCACGACACACATATAAATCACTTAGATCCCCATCACAATCACATAATCTCATTTTACCACACAAACATACGTTTTGTTAAATATTCACCAATTTCATTTTATAACCGACAAATTTTTAGGCTTTAAATACAAATTTTATAGTATGAAGCAAATAATTAATTATATTCAAAAAACTATATTTTTTATATTACTTTAAAGAACCCTTATTAAGAACTTCCAATCTTTAAATTGATTAAAATTAAAAAAGTGTGATGTAAATATAATATATAATGTGCTATTAATGATTTTTTTATAATTTGCAACTGTTGTTGAACTTAAACTTGGCGATTTATCGAAACAAACAACTGATTTGACAACTAATTTGACAGATGTACCTTGAACAACATGGCCGTTAGCAATTATCAAAGTTCGGAACTCCCTGTTGAGTGAGAAACCTACATTTGGATACGGTCACATTATACAAACATCTTCATATGGGATCTTATAACAAAGAAAATATTCAGTTTGAACTTAACAAATATGTTAAATTGTATTGGAGATGATGGTACCATTTTAATTATATGTATTTAGAGTAAAACGAGGTTTTTTAGTCTTGTCAATTTTTTCTAATGTTACTAACAACAATAAATAAGATCCTTGCTTGTACAATATTCTATTAATTAAACTTAAGTATGACCGTCCATAACGCTGACGAATTTCGAATTTTTGGGAGTATATGGAACATATGGAGGCGAATGTATTACTAAAGGACCATGAAATATGATTCCAGACGGTTTTAATGACCTCGGCTTGTCGATTTTACACCCATTAGTATCACCTGCTCCTCAACGAATATAAAGATTTTTAGCATCATCATATTAAATCTATCCATATTCTTACTTTTCTGCCGACTCATACTAGAATTTGCATTTTTTTATATAAAATTTCATTTCTATAAGAATATTGTTTTAACCTCACGGCCAATATATGGAAGGATGACTGGTAACTTGCATCAAAAATATTGTACGTTCTTTTAAAACAAACACTATTTTGTTATGCAAATGTCGAGTCAAAACATTCTCTCCCAAAGTAGAACTTATGTAAGAGCTGCAAGCAGGCGTGTGCTTTAATTACTTTACTCAAAAACTTAAATGTGCTGAATGCAAAATAATGAAAATGTTACACGAGAATGCTGTTATGTTTTGTTAGTATCTATAACATTATGAACATTAGCTCCGATTACTCGTTAGAGTTACAGAACTTCAACCAGAAAACTAATTTTCTTTTAGAGTATTTTAATGTTATAAAAAAGTAATTATTAAAATGTTAATGTTAACAAAATTGTTGTATTAAAATTATGAGAAATGTTTACAGGTGTGTACGTGAGCGAGTGTTTATTTAACGTAAAGAATGTTACAATTATAAACTCTAAAAGTTTGTGCCCTATTTTAATACAATTATGAATCAACAAATTATTGGATTAGGAAAAGTGCAAGACACAGTACACCTTAAAAATATCTACAATAAATTTTGCAAAAGTAAGAGAAGATAAAGTATTAATGGACTTGTTGATAAAATGTTATTTTATATTTATTTAATACAATTGTGATCCTGTTTTGTGTGAAAAACTTTTCACAAATCATTTAATCAGCTTGTAAATATCTAAGGCAAACATGAAGAATCGCAACTCCAACTTGTCTCTCGCGTAAAGCCACTAAGCCTCTTTACCCCTCCCTACCACCACATACTTAACGCCAATATTAAGTAACCTTCGCGTTATCTCGCGAATTACCTCAACTTTGCCTTAACTTTGTTTATGCCTGCGATTGTTATGCTTAAAAGTTGTTGCTGCTTTGGGGAATTTAATTTTGTTTTTCAGACATATTTAATTAATGCAATGAATAGGTGGATTTTATGACTGTCATAACCGTTGCCTTATTTATCATAATAATTTTGGAGCGGTAAGTAAATGAAATATAAAATAAGTGAGCTATTACCATTATTCTTTAAAACATGTTGTTTCCTTTTTGTATGTATTTTCTCTCAAATTCCAGAAATACCTAGTTCCATAGAATGAATTGGGTTCAAGTTAAGGTATATTTGATTAGGGTCTCACGGCCCCACGTGTGCTCATATTTATTTTCCCCTTTTATTAAATCGATCTCAAGTAAGACTTTTAGAAAATCGTGACTATTTCAAATATTATACTTTTATATAAATATTTTCTCAAATATATTTTTACTGTTATCTTAAAAACTAGGTGTTTCTTTACAACTCTTTAATAAGCACTTTATTCAGAAATCCAGCGTGACATAAAAATAAATGAAGTAACTTAACAACCCGTCCAATTACTTTAAAATTCTAAGGCACTCCATTGCTGCTTAAGTATTTACGAGCTGGCAGTATCACGATAATAGGTCTCGTAAAATAAAATAAATAATTAGAGCCGCGCCAAATTCATGAATTAGTAATTTTTGGTACAAGATACTGTGAGGGAGAAGCCACACTATATCGCATGAAATTTATAAATTGTTAAAATGTCAAGTAAAATTTGTGTATTTATTCATAAAAACAGTGTTGTACATAAAAAAAAAGATATTACACCAAACACATATATTCGTGATACTAAATTATTAAAGATGAATCTGGATAAAGCTGTTAGATATCGGTTTTTTCTCACACGATCACACGATCATGTATGAACGAAACACAAATAAATTTCACGAGTTAACTGCTCTCACCGCGAATATCTCGCCTGTATGTGAACAACGATTACATATGGCCCTGTTCTCCTTCACTCTGGATAATGTTTGCTTCGTAAATTTTAAACAGTATGTATATCGATGTTTATTATGCAAAGAAATATTCTTTATTCTTGACAGCAATAACAACTGAAATATGACAAGGGATGTTATTTCACGCTCTAAAAATGAGAAAGGTTTTTTAAGTTTTTATATCATTTCTGTTGATCTTTCTTTCTGTATAATAGAACAATGTTCAATAATTATAATTATATTCGTCATTCATAAGTATAAATGATGATCGGTGCCTCGTCGTAAGCTATAAATATTTACGTAAAATTACCAATATCTAATACAGAAGAGTTAAAATTTTGAAGAATTCCTTAAATTATATATATTTTTTTATATTTATATAGATGATATCAATAAATAATGCTAGTAAATCAAGTCAGCCAAACGCCGTCTACTGCTGACTCTGTATCTGGAGAAATGTCGAACCAATTACTACTTCAGCGTGCTAATTATTCAAGCGATGCCGTTTATCTTAGCTCTCTGGCTATATGTTTATTCGGAATACTGTGTACCGGAGAAAACATGTAAATCAAAAGTTTTATAACTCGTTGAGTGATCAGTGCGTGCGCGTCCACATTTCGGCTTCACAGATTAAGATAGCTGGTTAAAAGTTTTGGTTCCAAGGAACTATGGGATTAACAATTCAAAAATATAATGAACCTTTCCTAACACCACTTCACCTAAAAGAATTTTCTTGCTGGCTTTCTTTTCAAAGTCTTATTGGCAAAGCTAGATTATTAGGTCTAGATAAATCATTGCACAACTTCGAAAGGACAACCATTCACAACCATAATTTTGGTCTAGTCAACGTACATCCCAATGAACAAACGTCTCGTTTTGGGTACATTTTTTTTGAGTACATTTTTCAAAGCAAAAATAAATATGGTCAAGTGTGTGTTCTCCCACTGTTTAACCCCCTCTGTTTAATTACCGCTCGGGTGAATTTTGACACCCAGTTTATTCACGCTGCTTGAACTTATCGCGGCTTGCTGAGATGTGGTTTGCAATTCAGTACTCTAATCAAGAATGTCTAGAATTTTGCTACTTCATTTTAATCTCAAGGGTTGCTTAAAGACCGCATATTAAGCATTTCCGGTTATTACCGACTCAGTGTTCATTCACCGAACTTATCAGAGAAATTTTGTTTCTTAATTTTTATGCACAAATCTTTTTTGTATAAAGACAATCATAATAATTAAAAACCTGGAATTAATATGCCCCATCATGGCTTAATTATATTATTGCAGGAGCTGCACAGGTCAGAGGAAGTATTTAAAATGCTGTTTTACAATTCGAGTTTAAAGCGCATTACTAATGCTCAGTACAAAAGACAATTAAATATAAAAAAAATATATTCCGATTCAGGTTAATTGAACGCCTTTGTGTGGCTTCTCTCATTAAGTAAGTCTTTTTCGTTTTATTGAATCGTAATGTAATCCACTAAAGTATTTAAATAAAATTAAAAGTCAACATTAAATGGTAACGACAATTTTTTGATAATAATATTAATATTTATATTGAAGTGAACATATTAATATTATACGTCAAAACAAATTGTCAGGGCAATTTTTTCAGCAATATATATCAAGGTTTTAAATTTTTTACCTACATACATACTATTGTATTTGTTTAAAGTAATTGTAATAAGGGTTATTTATTAATTTATAATTGCGAAAAAGTCGTATTATTTTCTAATTTTATTCACCAATGTTGTCAGACTATTCGTTAGATAGATATGTTTTCCTTAATGAAATTGCCTTTTATAAATAACGTGTTGTAAAATAAATATATAATTAGATTTCATAGAATACAATAAGTCTAGTGTCCTACTAAATTAACCATTTTCAACATATATATAGATATACATACATGATTTGGAAATAACTGTTGTTATCATCGTGCACTTTTAACTATTTTATTTCTTTAATTAAATGTTTAACCTTAAGTAAATTGAATAATTTATTTATTATTCATATGATGGTTGTTTAAAAGTGTGTAATATTTTATTAATACTTTAAAATATCAGTAAGTACTAGAGATAAATTGAAATTATGCAGTTTGAGTAAATTTTACTAACAATAATATATATAAAAGTATCAAATTCAGAATATATCTCTTTTTAAAGTTTTAATTATATTCTGATGAACAGCCATTATATAAATCAACTTATTTTTAATCGTAGTATGAAATAAACTTTTACAGCGTATTTTACTTTCATGATATTAGATGGCCTCCAAAGTGGAGTTCGAGTGTTGGGGATAGAAATTAAAGTAAATTAAAAATCTTAATTAAATATACTTTAAGTAAGTATAAGAAAAAGAGATATATTTAGTTGAAGTTAAACAATATTATAAATTTATGAAACAGCGGCGAGAGTTAAATTATGACGGCGAGATAAGCTCGGCATCTCTAATTATTATCTAAACGACAACACACGGCCGCCTCATGAATAATTTAATTGGTCCGCTGCAGTCCAAATGGGGGTTAACTGGTCCACATCACATACTCATTTTCTGAAAGCCTGAGGGTTCTACGAAGCTGGGTTTTGAAATTGGCCGTGATGTCGGTCTAACATTGAATAAAAATCTATTCATTGATGGTTGCTACTGTTTACACAAAGTCTTGCTCCATTTTTCTGTTTCAATAATCGTCAAGGGTTTCTTGTGTAGTGTTTTCTATTAAATCGCTAATGTTCTAATATTATTATTGTATATCACAAAAAATATTATAATAAAAGCTTTCTAAATAAACTAGCACCATTTAGGAATGTTTCCAGCGATCTTCTACCAATTGCCGTGAAGCCAATCTCAAGGGAAATCTTGAGCGTCTGTAGCGAAACGGCACATTTTGAAATGTGAATGACTTTTCATTTGACAAAGCCGTTTGTTTATTGAATGTAGGGAAGGTATTTCAAATTAGACTACTAATGGACTGGTAGTACATAGATACTCGATATTAAAATATTATAAAGTGCTGGTTCTATAATAAATTGCTGTCCAATACTTTCGTTTTGATCATATTCAATATTGAAATTAAACATTAAATGATTAACTCTCCTTTTGTTTTTTCGATATTAAAAAAGCTGAAAGCGATTTTATATAAAATGATATAAGGAAAACATGTTCAGTTTGTAAAATTACTTTTCATAAAATAAAACATACAAACTATCGCAGTTTATTTAAAACTTTAAATATTGTGCTTTATGTCGGAAGTTGAAAGTAAGGAAATAAATTTTGAAAATATATTTCGTTTCTTTTATTATATATTAGTAAATATTATAAATTATAGAGATCAAAATAAATAATATACTATATATAATTAATTATAAAAAAAATCACACAAATCCCTTGTACATAATTTTACTTTAACCTAAATCTACCTTTTTTATGATAACCAATAAATACTAGTATCCAGCTAATGCTCTCCCTTTCATAAATTTTGTATCCAAATGGCACTCCATTTTCAGAACAGTCGTAACTTAAACCGAAATACTCGTTCGAGATTAGATACACAGGGCACAGAGATTTTATATTTTGTAGAGGAAATTTGCAGCTCCATACCAATAGTGTGGCCGTTTGAATTTTTTTCCGCATAATAGAGCAGCCTCTCAGCTGGCTCCAAAACATATGTTGAAATACAAACTAAAAATGGCTAAACAAGTATATTTTACGTATAAAAATATTTGAACATGTGCCACCAATGTTAGTTTCTTATATCAGTGAGTCGTTATAATTAGGGTGTGGATAGTGATTTTATATTTTTGACAAATGTGACAAATGATTAGTGGAAAAAATGATATGGGACAGAATACCGCTCAATAGATATTAATGAAATTAAAATACATACAATACAACATCAGTGGAATAGACTATATAAAATTGTTTTTTTTTTTGTTTAATTATTTAGGTACCTTGTATGTGCCGAGGTGTTCAACCACGCAAGGTAAGCTGGCATCTCTCCCGAGCGCCACCGTCACGTTAGGTATGGGTTCCGCAAAACGTGGCTCTTCAGTCAACACTGCCAACAAAAATATGGATTTAATGACACATAATTCCTCCTATAAATTATTGTGTTTTATTTAAAATTAATCTGGATGATTTTAAGTAATAGTTAATACATATAATTATTTTTAACAAGTAAGGTTATTACTAAAAGTAATAATTTGAAAAAACTCATTATCTTTTATTAAATTTTAGCCTTAGTGTTTGCACTACATTAAATGCATACTTAAATCATAGAATATATATTTTGATGAGCGTTTTAAGATCTTATATATATATATTTTTAATTTATTGACTTATAATTTAACAACTACTTAATTCAATATATGTTAATCTGCGTCTATGATACATCTTTAATACTTTATATGAATTACTGTTAATTTATTTACAAAAAAAAAACACTTTTTACAAAACATGTAAGGGTTGTCGATAAAACGGGATAGATATGTAAGACATTGTGATTAGATTTACATAAAAGATAAACGATTTTATTGGATCATCCCTAAAAGAGCACGAAATAAACAGTATTCTACATAAACGGCTTTTTAGACACATTTATTCCATTTTCCGAGGATTTAAAGCTTCATGAAACTAGGTTTTAATACAAAATTATATAGATATGGCTTATTTAACGTGAATTTCATGATATTATCTAATTTAAACACTATACTGTGTGTTTTTTCTTGGTAGTTTTTGTGATTCAGTAGAATGATTATTAATATAAATTAATTTTAAAAACATAAGATCCTTAGTCCATGTTTAAAAAATATTTGGCGATGTTTTTTAATACTGAGCAGGTAAAGTTCCATATTTTTAATAACAAATTAAAGTCCCGACGTTGACAGGCAAAACATTGTTTAATAACTTCTTGAGCTGATAATGCCTTTGTAAGAGATATCGTTGTTATTATGCTCGAGAAAATTTCATAGTACGGAAATTAAACAATGCGGGATTACGTTTAAAATATAAACCCTTTAGCCCAAAACTAATCTTGATTACTTGAAGGGTATAAAATTATATGTTGCGAGATTGAAAGAATAAGTAAACTGTTTCTTGTTAGAACCTGTTCATTTATAGTAAATTATAGGTACATACAATATCTAAGAATTTTCTAGTGTATTCAATTAAAGTAAACTAAGATTTTCAGATATACTTCATTTTTGTGATTATTTTGAAACGACCTACTGCCGACGTTTCGAATCCTTTGCAGCAACCGTGATCACGGGCAGACTACATGAAAATGTTTCAATGTCCAGACATTTTTACAATAATATAAGACGAATAATAAATCCGAATATCTTAATTTTACTTTTAGACATATGTATATAAATTAAATAAGTATACATACATTAATGCTAAATTAAGAATAATAAAATAAAAGTAAATTATTGTAAAGATTAAAGATCTCGTTTGAGTTCACGGCAAGCGTCTATTGAATTTAATTGGAGAGTCGCGAGATTGTTAAACGTTGTAACAAAGTTTGTTAACATTTTGGATACTACAAGTTGTAATTAATCTTACGTGACCCAGCATTCTTCTATAGCACCGTGACGCATGTTATATTAAAAGATATTAGTAATTATTATAAATTTGAATACCTTTGTAAACGATAACCTGGACAGACTTCAATAATTGGTTTGCATTACACATATATATATTTCATGGTAGTTTACACAAATTAAACCTAATGTTTATATTGTTCAATTTCATAACCCTAAAAAGATAGCCATGTATATTAATATACTCAAAAGATAAGCACTCTTTAAGCTTATGCTTGTTAAAGAATAAGTGAGATTGTTATTTATAAGCGTATTATTTTCAATAAGTAAATGTCATTAAAAAATATAATAATGATAAATTATTTATTTCGGTTCATCTGCTTCTCTATAATACCTTTTCTAAATCATTGTGCATAATTCTCATATTACCTATCAACCACCTCACTGGCGAAATCATTATATGTTGATTAATTATTACTACTTACTTTAAGAGACCTCATTCTAAAGTAGTCTTCTAAACTTTTAATAATCCATAATTAGGTATCATGTAACACAATCACATAAGGAAAACCTCAGAAGGCCTAAGCCTCCGCATAGTTATATTAAACACAGGACGCCTCTGTTGCACAATTCAGAAGTAGAGAGCAATGTTTCGAAAATAGAGACATAAATTTGACAGCGATTATCCTACCTTTATTTTCTTCCTTTATTTACGTTTATTTGACTCCTAAAAATTTTATACTTTTTAAGTTTAGATTAAAAAATAGATAATGGAAACTTTTCCCTTTCACCCTTCTTATAAAACTGTTTCAGATTTAAGAAGGTAATTGAGATTTATATAGTTGCGACGATAAAAGCTTAAGATTTAAATTCACCAAGAATTACAGACAATTTAACTTCAATACACTTATTAAATAAGAATAGTTGAGGTGCCAGACAATACAAAGTTGGCAGAATATTAGTGAGGCATACAGGGAAGTTTTAAACTTAACCGAAAACTACGTCATAGTTAAATTGATTGACACCGCATCTCATACTGAAACCGATTCACAAAGACACGAGATATGAGAAGCCAGATTTAATTACAGAAGTTGGGAACCCTTCAAAATATTGTCTTCATTAAGACTCTGCGCCCTTTGAGCTCGTTTTATTTGAAAAGTTCGAGTGTAATTTCGAAAAGTTAGTTAGCCTATTAACAGTTTCATTTATGATCATCTCACGTCTGACTCGCTTGAAAATATTTACTTCTCAAATACATTTTATTAACTTGATCTAGTTAGTAGTTGACAATGCCACCGATGTACAAATATACATTTTTAGTTCGGTAATAAGTATGGCAACAGTTAGAATTTTTTGTGATGCTGTTTCTTTTTATTTTATTAATAGTAGCATGTGGTAAATTATAAAATATAAACTAGATTAATTTTAATCTTCATGATTATTCATTGTCATTAATTATGAACCAAAAATACTTTTTAGGATTAGGCTAATAATCTGTTACTTTAAATTATATAATTCCCGGTATAATTTCTAGTTTCCATTTTTTTTACTTAACATGTGCTATGCGACAATCTTTAAATTAGAAATAACTTAATACAATTCATTTCAGCAGCACTGTCTTATAAATTTAAGCTTAATTCAATTCCGTTACCTGTCTTACTTTTCTCATTGTATAAGAGCTAAAGTTTAGTTCACTATCTAGAATTCTAGAATTAAAAGATGAGTATTCTTCAGAAGTTTTAATATATGTTTAATGCAATCTGTAAATATGAAAATTAATGATTCAGTTTATATTCATTATTATAAAAACAAAAGCTTATCTTTTAATTTATTGAAATTTTTTGTTTTTATTGCAGTTATTTGAACAAAAAATAATTGCTATGACAAAATCAATAACTTCATTTCGTTGGGTACATAAAACAACATAATAATCTGTCTTATAGACTTATAAAAGGTCCTTACATAAAAGGTCCTTAACAAAACATAACATTCCAATGTTTTTGTATTATTTACGAATATAAGTATTTTAGATTTTATATTAAACGGAGGTGCAAAATCCACTATTGAAGTCATTTTGTAAAACCAACTGTATTTTGTTGTCTACATGTTAAATATTCAAAGTGGAATCATATTTTAAATTCTATGAAGTAATACCTAATTTATAAAGTACCTCTTTTAAAAATATCTGTAATTTTATTCCCATAATACAAATAAAACAAATAACGTAGTCAATACTGCATGCAATAAACAATTAAATTTCTTCATCATCATATGTATATTAGAAAAGATTTTTATAGTACCTTAAGTTTGACGGACCATTTGAAAAATGATACAACTGAAATTCCCAAGGAATATCAGATCAGATCTAAATTAAAAGTCATGTTCTATAAGAAAAAAGTTACTGGCGTCAGGACCTTAGTTCACTCAGAATCATTATACATATATTCTTAATATTACCTTGACATATGATGGTGATAATTTGAATAATGCTGATAGCGAAACTCCTAAAGGGTCCGCGTCTTCCAGTCATGGTGGCATCAGAAAGTCACCAGCTTTTAGGAAATCCAAGCCTCTTCATCTTGTTTATAGACTGAAAATAAAAATATATTTATTCAAAAGATATACAAGAGGAGAAACGCCTAACAACGGTTTACGAATGCATCCTTGCCGATTAATTGTACTCCTAACAGTTTATTCATAAAATATTTTAATTTCACAATTATAAATGTATTTCTGGGAAGAAAGTTGAAATAGTAACTTAACTAATGACATTAAAGGAAGAATTTTAATACACTTTTTTATTTTATTGCATTATAATGTTAATTTCTGAAGTGGTATTGTTCACACAGACACAGACACAGAGGAGTAACACACAGTATCCAATTCAGTCGCTGAACTCGAATCGATAACATCTGCCAGACTTGCACTAACTTAAAATGACGCTCTTTTGTAAAGGACAATGTGTAATTTAGTCGTCTCTCTTTTTTAAAGGACTTTTATTTTGTGTAGTAAAGTGTTTTTTATGTTTTAATATCGTCTTTTTCGCTGTAATAATGTTTCAGCGTAACACGATAATGAGCTTGATAATATAACGAACGATAAGTTCTATTTTGAATACAAAAGGATAAAAACATAAAATATTCGATAAAAATATCCTTTGATGCAATTTTTTTACTGTATTTTGGTATTTATTATTGTCATTTTAAGGAACCGATAAAACATAACAGTTTATTGCTTTATTATTTGACATATTTTAAAATTCTAGCCAATTTGGAGGCTGACTGCTCTTTAAACGACTGAACCAAGTACAAAGAGTCGTTAAGTAGCCCCAAACGATTGATCTGAGGTCGCGGTCGAGACAAAGGCCTTTACTGGGTTCAAGATGTGAGAAAATTGAGGTTATAATGTTGTATTAAGTATAATCTTCGAAATTATCAGTAAAATTGGTATTTCGGGTTTTTAAAGTACATAAATGTTAAGAAAGAAGATTTATTTTACGGGACAGATGACCTCAATCTTATTCTGCATTATATTTCCTATCAGAAAAATAAATGAAATGTTCCTTTTTAAATAACTTCTAAGGTAATAGTTTCGTTACAAATAATAAGAATCTATCTAAACAGTCGCAGTCTCTCGTGATCTGAAGCGAGACGCCAGCGGAAGCCAACGCCGCTCCGTGCGCCGAAACTTGATTTACTCGTAGATCAAATTCAATTGTGTCAAACGAGAAATTGACTAAAAATTCAACTGTCACCATCTATATAAGGTTTTTATGAATTTGAATCGTCTGGCCTCTCGCTGTCGAGTCGTGCCTCTTTGATTTATTCTTTGTAATTTTGTTCAGTTCCGACGAGGCTGTGACCCTTAGCAGGCGATATCTAGTTACGAAAATTTATAATAATAATTTATTCTTTACGCATTACGATCTGCCTTATTCTTCTTAAATATATCTACCTGATGCTCTGAATATTAATTTACAGTATAATATATAATGTTAATTAACTAAATCCATTACCATTGAAATTCATCTACATAGAAACATTTTTAGCACGTATTTTTAGAGTAAATTGTTTGAAATACAACAAAGATGGGTAAAAAAAATATTTTTTAGACAAATAGTTTTAAATTTTGAATCAAAGAGTGATTGAAGTATTTTAGTGTTGGTTCTGAGCATTGTATAAAAGCTATTGAGCTTACGAAAATCTAAAAAGGCCTCCCGGCTGATCATAAAGATGAATTACAACCGGACAGTATACGCCTTGGGCATTCATATCTGATATCCAATTTGCAATTTTATTATTTAGAGGGTACGATTTTATTTTCCTTCCAGATAACTGATCAAAATTTTTGACAAAATATTTGGGAAAAACATTTTTATCGTCCGCGATAATCGGAATTAGATTTGACGATTCACATTTGTTTGACCGACGCGCCGCCGGAATCCACAATGTTTACACATCATTCTTTTATTGTTATTCTCTTTGATATAATAACTGATATTTTAATTCTTTAAATAAAATTGGAATGATGTAAAAGTGGTAATAACTTCTGTTAATTTATTATACATTTTTAATGATTTAATGCATTACTTTCTTTTTTTATTACTTATCAGGAAAAAATAATGAGATAAACTAAGAACCTACATAAATTCTACAAATATTTCTGATCTTTTAGTAAGCAATAAATATATTTTGGAGTCAACCGCAAATATTTAAGAAGTAACCTAACGTTATATTCGAACCTTTTTTATGTTTTGTAATTAAAATGTTTTGTACTATATAGTACCAATACTTTTAAAACTTCGGAATGATATAAAAGTACTTCGATATAAATTCTTTATTTAACTCATATTCCATATTCGTCAGTGCCAAGCCGCAGGACATGAGGGCTTTTACGCTTAACTTGTACAGCACTTACATTGACTTGTAAGAAACAGTTCGCATTTTACATTTTCAAATAGTTTTTATATTTTTAGAAACTCTAGGAAAACACATATTATTCCATGCCAATTATATTAAGATTTGTATGCATAATGATATTATATATGAATCCAAGGTGAGACGTCACTAGAATATTTCAATTTAGAAGCTCGCGTCGTATACCTACTTCTATCACAAGAAGCGAGTTTGAGTATTGGAGCCTTTTAAATTTTTTGTGCAAAGATATGAATATTTCCAAGGGTTATAATGCTATTAGAGAGAAAATCTCAAACCTGGAGGGTAATAAGGAGCGTGACTAGGAACAATTTTACCTCATCTTGCTATATTAAACGTTTAACGTAAACCGGCAAATGAAAGATATTATAGGAGAAAATTGGGAATGAATTTAATAATCCTCTTCAACAACTTTAAATCGTATTTTGTATGCGTATTTTATGGTTTTATGAAATAAAATATTACGAAATATTTTGCAGTTTTATTTTTATGAAATGTGCCAATCACATTATAATTTACATATAAGCTTTCGGAAAAGTCAAAAAACAAATATAAATTAGTTTGTAAATATTGTGATAAGAACAGATCCCTATTTTAATAGATCTTGAAAACAAAATATTTCATAAAACTTTTATAACCACGGGTCGCGGTTCTATCAAATGCCGTCACTCATCACCGACCACGTATCTCACATTATTTTTAACGTTTAAACTTTCATTTCGCGTGTCAGAGGCAGTGCTCAAAATGTGAGGGAATACGGATGATATATATGAGCTTGTCCTCGGCTCGACGAGTTTTTATTGTAGCTATGTGTACAGCTCGTAGAGAAATTACTTGTGACTTACTTGCGTCTTTTATTTGTGACGGGATCCTGTGGGATGGGGCGATAATTTTTTATATCCTCCCCATCGAATTACTGGGGACGTCTCTATTTGTATCGTAATTGTGGGTCGGATTAATCCACTCCACATTGTTTAGTGTTATTATTCTTTGTAAGTTGTTTCGTGTTCATTTCTTTTGTATGTATGTTCGTTATGAATGTAAATTGGCTGAATTGTATTAAAATGTCACATATAAATAATAATACTATATGTACATTACTAAGAATTTATTTTACACGGACATTACTAAGAATCGAAATTTGTTACTTATTTTCCACTAGACTTCCGTCTCAATTTCCTTTAATCAACCCTATTTAGGGGCTATTACTTTTTCTTCTTTTTGACTCTATTTCTGCTTGAATGTTTGAAGATGACCCTTTTAGTCATTTTTGAGGGCAAAAGATTCAGAGAAACGTGAATAAAATTTTGGAAAGGAGAGGTTTGGTTTAGAAGCTTAATGAAACTATAAACCTACCAATCCTTTATTATGAATTTTTTTGAAGTAGTGTGGTTTACTATATTAAATTTCATGTAATTTACGAATAGTGATTGATTTCCAAAAATAAAATAAAATGTTCAGTTGACAAGAACCGAGACGGCAAGTGACCTTTTTACGATTACTTCTTTTTATAAATTAATAAAAAAAGAAATGTACTTTGATATTTTAAAACTCCGAGGTTATGTTTAAGTAAATTTTCACCTTGAATTTATATTACAAACACAACTTCCCTTATTATATGACGGGATTACATTAGCAATTCTTTATGAATAAGTGTGAGGACGGTGGTCCATTCGCTAAGCTTACTTATAATTCTTATGTACAAAGTATTTGTTTTGCATACAACATGGTTACAGAGAATAATGAATTGTGAAAAATAATCTTAAATTGAACTGTTAGACTTGACCGATATTTTCTGGAGTTTGTAGTTTCGATTCTTGGAACTGTCGATGAATTTTTATGAAATATTTTCTGCTCAATTATATGCTTAATATTGCCTTAATACTAAAAGAGTAATTCAAAGAAATTTTAAATTAATACATTTTTCAAATAAATAATAAAGATAGCTTAAAATATAACATAGTAAATAATATTGCTAACTACCATGATTTTATTATAATAAACTACGTCACTATTAAAGTTCCTAATTTGCCTTAATCACTCTCATGAATAACGCTCCGCGTCGAGCCTTCGTTACACTATTTTATCCGAAACATTTTCTTTTTCAAGAAAAATAATGCCATTATTTACTTTATATAATGATGTTGCTAACATTTTGATGCAGTGTTTCTTTAAATACGTAAACATAATGTTTATAAGTTGTTAATAAAAACAGTCTACCGAAACTTGAGCAATAAATAGCAAATGATAACAAAGCCTTGAGCTAAGAGATAAAATGTCTGCAATTTTAGAACATTACAGAAATGCTTTTATGAGCCTGAAAGCTGGACATGGCCAATAATAATTGTTCATTTTGAAGCCAGTCAACTGTCCTTTTGAAATATAAAACGGGTTTCTACATTGAGATGATATTTCATTTTTGCTGTTCTTCGATATTAAAGCATTAGTTAAAGCTTACGTCAAAGCAATGAAAAGAACAAAAAAACAGACTGTTGATAAGATAGCGATGTAATGAAATGTGAGTTTGAGACTGCTGATTCATTTTATGCATATAATAATTATATTTTTTGCAAGACAGAAGCTATGTTTTACACTT